GTTAAGTGAAATAAGCCAGGCCCAGAAAGAGAAATACCCTATGTCCTCACTCTTAAGTGGGAAATAAAAAATAAATTAAAAAAAAGAAAGATAGGGCCGGCCCGGTGGTGCACTGGAGAGTGCACTCCTTGGGAGCACAGCGGCGCTCCCGCTGAGGGTTCGGATCCCATGTGGAGACCGGTTCCCGCTCACTGGCTGAGCGCGGTGCGGGCGCAACACCGAGGGTTGCGATCCCGTTGCCAGTCCCTGGTGCGGGCGCGACACCGAGGGTTGCGATCCCGTTACCGGTCAGTAAAAGAGACAAAAAGAAAAAAAAAAAAAAAAAGAAAGAAAGATACAACAATCACAATAACATGCTGAACTTTTAAAAGTAGAAAACAGAACTGAGGTTACCAGAGATGGGAAAGGGGGAGGGGAGTCATGAAAATTAATTACATTGTATGATGTTGAATATACTAATTATCCTGATTTGAGCATCACATATTGCACACAGGTATGATATTCAACTCTATACCCCACAAATATGTATGATCAACTGTTTCTATAAAAAATAAAGAACTATCACCAGGAAACAGTGGGTGTCAATAGGCATCTTTTCTCATCTTCACCTCAGCATCTGCCTAACACTTTCTTGAAATGCCATTAGAGCACTTCCCTTTTCAGTGAAGAGTCACAAAAACAATCACCATCCAGAAAACAAAAAGTAACATTTTCCACAAAACTGCAAAGCCCCACATAAAACAATATTACATGATCTACTTATTGACTTCCTGTTACTGGATTCTGGCAGGAATCAAAGGAAAGACTGTATCATATGTAGTTCCTTTTCAGTTGCAAGGTAAGGTTATTAAACCACCAATAGCAGAAGATTCATAATTCATATTCCTTTTATTCTGGGTGTTACACCAAAAGCATAAATTTGGTTCACTATTGAGAAAGGTTTCCTTAATCATTTTGTACCCTGAATTTTTTGAAAACATGTTTTCTTGTTAATAGCAACCCTGCTGATGCAATTAATTCTAGCACAGCTCCCTTACAAACCAAAGGACTCTTTATTATGTTGTGTACTGAGAGACACTACACAAAAAGGGAAATCAATCTTTACACACCTCGAGTAATATGAATAGTATTTTTCAGATCCTTTTCCCTATACTCAGAAATTATTCTTCTATATCATTAGGGGCTCTTTACTCCTTAGGACCTCAAATTTGGCTAAATTTTCTTTTTCTTAGCAAACTGGTTTCTCTGGTCTCCCTTCTCTTTGGAATTCACTGTACAAATCTCTAATACTGCTTTCTTTCTTACCTTTCTCATCATTTCTAATACTTAAATTCCAGCCTTTTCTAATTATCATCAATAGGACTTACTTTCAATTTGCATATTTTGAAATTAAATTTCTTTTAAATATTATATAATTTTTCTTGCTATCCCAAGCATGCATTTTAGTAATCTGGTGTGCCGTAGTTTATTAATGCTTTTGACACATTTTAGGGTAATGATCACATAGAATGTGAAAGAGTTCATAAAGTTAAACCGTATAAGTACTGGGGAAAATAATCTGGGAAGAAGATTAAAAAGGAAGACAAAAATTATTTTCACATTATCAGAGTTTATAGAAAATTTTTTGTTGTTGCTATTAATATGCCCATGAAGGAAGAATAAAGACAAATAAATCAAATTTACAAAGACATGTTTCTTTAAACTCACTGTATCATAGAACTTTCTAAGAGTTATCCTAAAACTCAGAGTTATCCCTTTGAGATAATAAAGTCACTATCACTGAATCTGTTAAAGCGGAACAAAGAATAGTGTAAAGTGTAAAATGTAAAATGAGAAGGAGGCTATCCTGTCAGTTAATTCCAATTTCCAAAGTCTATGGCTTTACAATAAAATATTTACTACAACTGACATAAGAACTTTAAGATACAGAGCAATCTTGAAAAATGAGAAGCTTTATATCCTACTTAATCTATGCCCAAGTTTATTCATCAATCCAATAAATATTTGAGAATAAACTATATGCCTGCATCATTTCTTAGCTCTGAAGATATAGTAGAGCATGAAACTGACAAATCCCTTCCTCATGTCCCTTACATAGGGAGGGGGAGAGAAAGGAAATGAAAGGGGGGGGTTGGAGAAAAGTTTACCATATGCAAGCTTCCTTGGTCAATGTATACATTTCTGGCTAGCAATACATTTCTGCCTTAATAGTAGTCAAAGATAATAAGATCTCCGAAGTATCACTGAAGCAGAGCAAAAATGAGTAGAGCAGTTAGTTTTAACAAAACAGACTGATGTCCAAGTTGGTAGCAATAATAAGTTCTTCCTAAATTCTAGCAAACCTATTCTCCAACCCTAGGTAAAACATCACTTCACATTTTGAAGTGCTTCTGTTCTATATAAGGGCTCTAGCCAAATTCCTTAAAAAAAAAAAAATTTACCATTTAAGATTACTGTCTCACTTAAACAAGTATTCATTAGTTTAACAAATATTTTTTAGTCACTTAGTATCCATCAGGTACTGGACATGAACTGCACAAGAGCAACCTAATGTAAGATATACATGTAATTGTAAATTTTCTGGCAGCCACATTGAAAAAGAAAAAAAAAAGTGAAATTAATCTTAATAATATATTTTACTTAACCTAATATATCCAAAATATTATCATTTTAACATTAATCAATACAAAAATAACATTTTATATTCATTCTTCTTTCATTTCTAAGTCATCAAAATCCATTGTGTATTTTACATTACAGCACATCTCAATTTGGACTGGCCACACTTTAAATGCTTAATAGTTACATGTGGCTAGTGGCACCTGTATCTAGAGAAAGTAGAATACTTTACACTACAGCACACTAAATTTTGATAGGAAGTATCTGACCTGATTTAGACTTAGATTTATTTGATCATATTTAGATATTATGAACTATATAGTTGAAAAAGTAGATCCTATATCAAAGTTGTTCAGACATATTTAAAGGTTATCCAATAAGTGAATCGAGTATCAGTTTTTAAATTTAAATTAATTAAAATTAAAACTGAGTTACTTAGTTGCATCAGTTGTATTTCAAGTACTAAGTAGCCACATATGGCTAGTGGCTACCATATTGGACAGTGCATAACAGCTTCTATATAATACAGAAAAAGATCCCCAAATTACATTTTTTTCTCTTCCGTTTTCTTTGTATTTGAACCAATTCTGGTTGAAGGACAGGTGAGAAGGCATCTATTTTTTCTTTAAAAATTATAACCTGTAGGGTCTTCCACAGAAACTGAGGCAGTTCCTTTGAATCAAAATAGTCAATAGACAATTACTTGCAAAATTAAGTCCTCTAATACCAATGGGCAGAAAGCTCTCAATTCCTTTCCTTGATTGAAAATATTGCCATCCACTTGCCCACCAAGTTAGAAACTTCATTGTTACTTAGTTGTCACTAAATCCTGTCTACTTAGCTAGGTAATACCTTTTTTTTCTAACTTTATTCTATCCCGTTCAACTATGCCTTCAACTGTTGCTGCCTTAGTATAAGTACACATCTTTGATCACCTGGGCTATTTTAAATGCCTCCTAAAACCAATCTTAAAAACACAGCTCAGGGAATTTCTTTACATATGTAATCACCCATGTAACCACCACCCAGATTAAGATACAGAACATCTCCAGAACTCTATAAAGTTCCTTCCTACCCTTTATCCACCTCCTCAATTCCAGTAACCATTAGTCTGATGGACTTTCAACAAAGTTTGCACTTTTGAACCTAATGTAAATGGAGGTTTTGTGCCTGGCTTCTTTTGTGTCTGGCTTCTCTCATTTAACATATCTGTGAGATTCATACATGTTGTTGCCTGTACCAGTAGATCTTTTTTTCATTGCTATATTATTTAAAATTTTATGAATATCTCTAAGCTCATCTATGGGCATTTCAGTTTTGGACTATTACAAATAAAGTTGGTATAAAGATTAATGATGATGGTTAAAATATTAAAAGAACCTAAAAAAAATGCTCAATATATATTACTTCTTTCCCTCCATTACGTTTACATTACAGTAGAAACATGTCCTGTGTACTACACAGAATGAAATTAGACACATTCAAAATCAGGTGTGCATTTTAAATAAAAGACATGCCATGTATAACTTTAATCAATATACATGTTAAGTGCATGCAGAATAAATTCATATCACATAAACAATCACAAACATTAACATCAAATGGGTAACAAAATTTGATTCCATTCATTATCACATTTTAGCATCTGCTCTATATTTTCTAATGCATCAAGAAGAGATTAATCCAGGCAATGACAAAAACAGACCACTACTCCCTACCACTCCTACAAGACAAAGCATGTTAAACCTGACATGTAATCCTCGAAGATATATCTAAGAGTGGTTACAGAAAGTTTTATAATATTAATTTGGCTGTTTAAACAAGTTCAGTAAATTTGAGCACATAAAAATTTTATTACTTTGTAAAATTAGCACCAGCTTATTTTGCTAACATTATTATTGCTAAATTCAAGTCACAATAATGCTTAGGTCTGGAACTTAGAAAGAAGTGCTAATTTGCATGGATGTGTTAAATGAGTGCTCTAACTTGCTTCATGAAGGAGACAAAATTAAAATGAATTATATCTGAAACAAATATGTTTTAGGAAAATTAATATAACAATTAATATTACTTTCTTCATTATCATACTGTTATTCTTTCCTAAGCTAAATATCCTAAAATACACTTAATAAAAGTCATATTATTGCTGATGGGTTGCTTTCTTAGTATTTTAAAGCAAAAGCAGAATGACAAATAGTACTAAGTCAAAGTTACTTAGTTCCTTAGATTCACTCAATAAACACACACATACATAGACAGTGAATCTGTACCTTTAAAAAAAATTACTCTTTTGTACAAAGATTACTTGTACTTTTTACTACCATAAAGCTACAAGTTCCTACAAAGTAAAAATATGAATAAAATCTTATTTTTCTTCTTACCTCCCATTCTCTGGCTGCTGCTTGATTAGTAGAATCTTCATTTGTTTCAGACTCCTCAATCTTTTTTACTACAATAAATCCAGGTTCTTTGGTATATTCACCAGTATCTTCTGCATATATTTCTGGACTCCACTGAATGAAGAAGGCATACAAGTGGTCTGTCCTGTTAGAACAAATGACTATTAATAGATCTAGTATTCTGTGCTGGTGGCTAGAATTACAAAATTGTATTTGTGAAATATCTTGATATTCTTGAAGATTTAAAATATACACAAAATATACTATGCTTTTTAAAAAGATAAAGCCTACTAATCAGGAAGACATTAACTTAAAAAATTTATTTGGCTATACCGGTCAAGTTGTTCTGAGAAAACGATAGCAAGATTTTCCTGCTCGCTTTTGACCAGTTCAGGTGCTGTATACAGTAATGTTTTTCCTCTTTAAAGACACTCGTGATGGGAAGGGAAATTGAATCCACTACTTTGTCCTCATTCACACAATGATCTAAAATACAATAATTTACTAATTGTCTATTTTGAAACCTGGACATTGTACGGAATTTTACTAATTTAATAGAAATATACCTAACTTTTAAATGATACCAGTAACACAGTGATCAGGGATAGATGATGTAAATCATCAGGGATAGATAATCTAATCATTTAAATTTCTGGTTCCCCTTTTCAATGTTTTGTTTACTGTGGTAATGGCAGTTGCTGCATTTCCTAATGAACTATTTGAGGGTCAAACACACATTTCAAATATCTATGATTGCTATAATTAGCATGAGTAATTGAAAATTGATTAGAAAACTCTCAGCTAACATAGACCAATGAATAACAATGGTTCTCAAAATTTTATTTCCAAAGTAATGATTTTTTTTGCAACTGTCACCTGGCCTTCTTCATAGACTTTGTGGAAATGGAGGCACAAAGAATCCACACAAACGCTGATACACTGACTACTGTTATTCTCATGTTTTCAGCCAGTGTGCATCAAACTGAGGCAGGCTAACTTCTTAGCTAGCAAGTAGGGTAAAACCTTATATCCATTACTATTTTGACAAAAGTCACAGAAAATTTTTAAATAAATGTAGTATCAGTAAACACACACACAGAGATACATAAATATGTAAGTATATGGAGTATGTTTTAAAGAACTATAAGGGGATAAAGATACAGTACCTTATAATAAGATTCCGTGAGGAATGGAAACACAAGTTAAAAGAGAAAAAGTAATGATGCATTGCTTTTCCTCACTAACAAAAAGCAGCTGATGATGTAATTTCTAACTGATAAAGAAGAGCACATCCGAGTAATTTTTAAGTGAATAATGGTTGAGTGAAAATTGTTAATGTTTAGATTCTACTGGATATATTTAAAAGATCAATGTAACAGTTTTAACTTGAAATGGCAATATTTACAATACGGTAATGACAGACATCCTTTACAATTGCTTAAACTTATGATAAATAATTTTATTGTGCAGAGGGCACACAAAAATAGTTTGAAGACCATCAGACCCTTTTAGTAGCTAATTTGGAGTCATGTATACAGCAGGCATTCAATAAGTATTTAAGAAAATTTAAATAAAGAAATTTTACATCATTTACCTGCCTTCAAAGAGGAGCTACACAGTTAATATTTTTGATGAAATTTCTTGCTCTAAGACATCTCAGATAACTTTCTTTACTACTAAAACTGGATATGTATTCAGTTTTTGCAATAAACCACAAAGGAGAAAGCAATTAAAAACTGGGTAAATTAAAGAGTATAAAATAGGAACTAAATGATTTCAAATAAATTTAACATCAGCTTTTAATCATAAACTTTATGATTCAAAGAACTTTGCTACTGTTATTGTGATATGCAAAATAATTTTAATGTAAGGAATCTCAATAATGTTTTCAAACTTTTGTTGTTGTTTGTTTGTTTTACCTTTCTTGTGGCACAGCAAACCAATATTCATGTTTCTGATCTCTCTGTGCATACTGTTGCATTGTAGCACTTGCTTGAGATACAAAAGTTTTCCTCATTGGTTTTCCAACTCTGAGACATAAGAACTTATGTAGTCGATGCCTTCTCTTTTCTTTTAAAAGTGCTGAGCCTAGAATTGAGACACAGTGTTTATTCAGTTCTCATACTCTGTGCTTAAATAATTTAGATTTGATAAATTTACTCTCAAACTTCTGACAAATAATTACAGAATAAATCCTCACTTTACTGGTACTCAGGTGAATTCCCTTAAGTAATGTGTTTTTCCATCAAAGGTAAAAATCACAGATACACCAAGACAAAAATTAACAAACGAGCCAAGTTAATGACTAAAATTATGTCTAGGGCTATTAGAGAAAAAATGTAAAAGCTTCAGAACTTTTTTGTAAATTTTTGAAACAACCATACTAAAGTAATTATATACCCATATAATTTTGTGCAAAATTCTCTATCAGTCTTTTAGAATGACAGCTAAATAACCTTGTGGAATTTTTTAAGGCCTACTTTAATATGGAAGTCATAGGTAAAAATTTTATGAATTTTCTGAAACTTTTACATAAGTGTGAAAGTATGATAAAACAATCAACAATATGCCAGATTAAGCCACCTCAGATAATAAGACTGAATTATCTCTAACTCTTCCAACCAGAAATGCTGATATAAAGTATACTGAGTATTTGAGAAAATGGTTGAGTTCAGGAATGTGGACATTAACAAGCTTGCTAAGGTAGCACACTGTCAAGGTAAGAGTTTAGTTATACTCAGGAGATCCAGGTACTAGTTGTGGCTTTTTTCTGTGTAATATTATGCAAAGTACATAATCTGAGCCCCAGTGTTTGCAGCTGATTAAAAGGGGGGACTTTTACCATTCTTTCCACAGTTGTATTCCACAGTTTTATATTTATTACAGCTTTATTACATTATAAAAATCAGAAACTTTTAATATTTCCTTATTATAGAATACCAAGTTACTTAAAATTAGTTACATAAAACTGATTTTCATTCAAAAAGAAGAAGAAGAAGAAGAAACCAAATGGCAACAATCTAGAGATACTTTTCTAAAAAATCTACCAGTTTTTCTCCTTTTATTATCTGGTTATAATAGGACTTCCCCTGCCCCACTAATCCTCCCAACCCCTGCAACAAACCTACTAAAACTAGTCTACTGCATGATTGGATTAATTAGAATCTATTATTTTACTTTTTTCATAGATTTCAAAATATAAGGTAAATATCAGATGCTATCAAAGATATTCAAATAAAGATATTCACACTAGCATTATTTAAAACATCCACGATGGGAAATGTCCTAACAGTATGGAAATGGTTAAATAAATTATAGGGACATTAAATCCATGTTTTCAAAGAACTACAGTGACATAGGAAAATGTTCATGACATAAAATATTTAGTGAAAAAAGCAGGATATAATACTACATGCAGTATTATCCTGATTTTATATAAAAAATAAATATGTATGTAGATACGATATCAAAATTATACATATATGTGTGTGTGTATCATCTCTGGGTGATGAATTCCAGTTAAGTTTTATGAATTTTCTAGAGATGTTCTATATTTCTCAAATGTTCTTTAATAAACATTCATTAGTTCTGAATAAAGAAGAAAATATTACAGAAGAACAAATATTCAGTCTTCCATACAACATGATTAGAGTAAATAAATTCTTTAACATCCTTAGGTTTTCAGAGTACCTCAACTGAACAATGCAAAGAAAATTCGGACTTTTAAAAACTGAACCAAATCTTTGAGTATTGCTGGTGAGAAGGAAAAATGGTGTGGCCCCTATAGAAAACAGCAAGGTGGTTTCCTCGAAAATGACACAAGGTTACCATATAATCCAACAATTCCACTTGAAAGAAGGGATTCAAACAGATGTTGTACACCAATGTTCACAGCAGTATTATTCCCAATAGCCAAAAGGTGGATACAATCCAAATATCCAACAACAAATGAATGAATAAACAAAATGTGGCATAAATGTACAATAGATATTCAGCCTTAAAAAGGTAGGAAATTCTGACATATGCTATAACATGGATGAATCTTCAAAGCACTATGCTAAGTGAAATAAGCCAGACACAAATATTGTATAACTCTACTTATATGAAGTGCCTAGAGCAGTTAAATTCAGAGAAAGAATGGTGATTGCTAAGAGCTATGGGGGAGGTAGAATAGCAAGTTATTAATGGGTGCAGATTTTCAGTTTGGGAAGATGGAAAAGTTCTGAAGATGGATGGTGGTGATGGTTGCACAGCAATGTAGATGTACTTAGTGCCACTGAATTGTAGACTCCAAAATGGTTAAAATGGTAAATTTTATGTTATGTATATTTTACCACAATTACAAAAATAGTTAAAATGATAATTTAATTTTATTTACATTTTAGCACAATACAATTTTTTAAAATAAAAGTTCAAATGCAAATTGAATTATCTGACATCAACATGTCAATGGAATTAGTATAAGAAATGTTAGCTAAGTTACTCTATAATTTACTAAGCAGAAGTGCAGTATATTAGAAATAAAAGATAAACTCTTACTATAAATTTTGTAAGTAAATATTACCACAAAACAAAACTGAAAGACAAAACGGTGTTTTTATTTATCTTGAGTGATAGTTTTTAAAGGAAAACATTTAATCAGATAATGATGGAACTTTTGGATACTTGGAATAATTCTAGAAATATATTTTATGCCTAATTGCACTTTTTAAAAAAACGATGGGATTACAACTTTGGCAATTACAAATTGCAATTAAAATATATTCCAAGAACTAAAAGAGAAAATTGAGTAATCAATTTTCATAAGTAATCAAGGTATTACATAGCTGTGTGCACTTTCAAGAAATAATTGTTTAAAGATAGAATGCAGTGAGTCAAGAAAAAGCATGGTGGAAAAGATGCTTGTTAAGTGTACAATCCACCTGTGGGATATGAAAAGACAGTACACACCAGAGACTGTATATACTTGTCCGAGAATACCGTCAAGGGCCACTTAATTACCCTTCAGACTGGCCAAAGATACAGCAGTTTTTGAGTCAATAAGGAAAGAAGGAGATAACACCCAATAAGATGAACTAATGTTATATACTCCTTAACACTTACCTTCTATATGTCCATCGGCAGGTGCAACTTTATGCTTAATTTCTTTTTGTGACACCTGTTGAATAGTTTCCCTTTGCTGTTTAGTTTGCTGCATAGTATGAGTTTTCCAGAGTTTGCGTAGCTCTTCTACCTCTGTCTCTGAGTCCTGATTTTGCTCCTTTCCTTGTTTCCCTTTGTTAACAGTTTGTTTTTGTTTAAATTCTGTTGCTTCCCCACAAGGCATATTTTCTTTTTCACCCTCTTCTTGAGGTAGTGAATTCTCATGAAGAAAAAAATCCTGGTCTGCATTACCTTTTATACCTGTGCTTTGTTCTTCAGGGCCTGATACTTCTTGAAAGTTATCTGTAACCGGATCTCCTTCCATAGTGGCCATTTTATGATTATTTAAATCAGTTTTATGAGATAAAGTCTCAACTTCATTTGAAGAATGTTCAGTATCTGATTTTAAGTGACCAGGAGTACCAGTAGCCTGTGATTTGACTGTCAAACATTCTATGTCAGCCTGATTGACAGTTTGTACAGATTCTGATGACGCACCAGATGATTTATCTTGTCGCAGCTCATCTGAAGAGACAAGCTCCTCTCGTATAGGAGAGAGTTCTGATTCTGTGAACACATCTTCAGAAAGAGACTCCTCAGTGCTCCTAGGAGCAGTGCTGGCACTATCATTACCTGCATCGCGGATTCTTGAGTCTATTTCCTCAGTATTACTTCCTGTCATTTTCTTGGAATGGCAGAAGTCCCTTCCTGATAACTGATTTACTTCTCTGTCATTAAACAAAATTTAAAAATTAGACTTTTAGTATTTCATTTTCCACAAACTGAATAATGAATTATATCGCTATAAAGTCTTTTTGAAAAGCATATAGCATAAACCTTAAGACAATTGACTAATTCATATAGATCAACTAATTAAGTCAGGTTTTACATCAGTTGCTCAAGATTTAGGAGACATCAAAGAAAGATTTCCTTGAAGTAATCTACTTGAAGAGAATCTGATGACATAAGTTCTGGATGAAGCTATAACTTATTCCAAACTAAAATTTACTCATTGTGGAAAAGAGAAAATAACCTTAGAGAAATTTTTAATTAGAATTTTAAATCTCAAGAAAGTAAAAACACACTGATTTATTATATACATACACACACACTCAACGCACACATATATACACAGTGCTTATTTACATTCAAATAGAGAATAAACTAAAATATATATATGGTGGAAATGCAAGGCTTAGAACCAACCTAAATAAACTGAGGCAAAAGTACTTAGAGGAAATCTTCAGACTAACAGTACCAACTCTTAATAATAGTTCTCAGAGAACTTGTTCAGGTAACAGTTTAAATATTAGATGACAGAGTGGTTCACAAATGGATCTAGATTCCCCTGTTTAATGACTTTTATATATGTAAGCACTAATGTATTATACATGTAAGCACTAAACTATAAAATTTATCATTTAAATTCTGGAAAGGGGTAGTGTGAACATCTATATCATAAAATATTAAGTAATTTAAAATAATAGTTACAAGTAGTTTGTGATAAATGTAAATTGCAAGAGTACTTAGTTGAAAAAGTATTAACATCTACGTATATACAGTTTGAGAATCATTTAAAAATATGCTAAATAGAAAAGACTAGAAAGTAAATCAACACAAAAATAATTGGTTGTCTCTGGATGGTGAAGTTGGGTAACTTTTTTTTCTGCTTTTTGGCATTTTTCAAATTTTCTATAACTAGTACGCATAATTTTTATAACTAGGATGTAAAATCTATTGTTTTAGAGTATTAATTAGTTGAACTCCAATTCATATCTCTACCATCTTTGTAGCTGATTCATCTTAGGAAACACAAGCATCTAACTTGTGTTATTAAATGTGCAGTACTGTCATCTACTGGTCTTTCACTCAAATTGCATATGCAGGATCTTGGAACTGGGCAAAAGTTTGGAGAAACTATATCTGTACATTTAATAAAATTATAAGACCCTTAGGAAGATAAATATAAAGATAACAAACCCAACAGGATATATATTAGACAAGTGCTATACCCTTCAGAGTTAACATGCTGAAAGGCTACACATTTATGCCAATGATGCTGTTACTGCTCAATATAGTTCCCGAATACCTTTGAAATCAACTTCCCAAGCAGTATAAAACAGAAAACCATCAAATACTACACCATATTTTTGCCATACAAGACATTACTCTACAAAACCATTTGCTTTATTTATCTGATTTTTAATTGACTCATAAGGCAGGATTCAAAGGTATTTCTTTTAGGAGGAATTTTTAAAAAATGTTTGGATCAAATGCATGGTCTTTCCAGGTGACAATCTGAATGGTAAAACAGTGATCTGAAAGCAGAGGAGCCCTATATCATTCTCGTAGATTAAGAACTCTTTAAGAGAATCCTAATGTATCAAGATACAAATGAAAAAGTAGGGCAACAGAGAATCTCACCAATGACTGACTATATATACACATACATATATAACCTTCCTCTTTCTCTTTGACTCTAATTCTTCAATCCTTTCACCTTTGTCTCATACCTCCACTAAAATTCAATAATCCTTACTTGCTGAAACTGACTTTGGCTGATGATCTATAAATATAATTAATAATAAAGGATTATGATACCTTCTAGGAATTATCTGTACCTCTAAAGATTAGTTTACCAAGCCAAAATAATATCTATTGGGTGGAAAGTATAATGGAGACTTTTTGAATAAGTGACTTTTTTCTATCACAGGTATCCTAAGAATTCAGGTAATCTTCCTCAGAGACAAAAATAATTTCTCCTTTTCTTCTTCATAAATTGTTCTGCCTCACAAAGGTTAATTTCAAAACAGCCATCATCATCCCTCTGGGTTAATACAGGGATATAAATATCAGTATCCGCTAAAGTGAAGCTAGTTTATAAATTGTTAAAAAAGTCATGCGTAAAGAGATGAGGTTCTTTTTTATTTTGTATCAATTTTCTTCCTTTCTAGTTCTCCTTCCTTTTTTTTGCATATCTATCTTTTATCTTTCTCTCCTTTTATTCTCATTCCTCCTTTCCTCCCTGGTCATTACTTTGGTCAAGCATTATCACTTTCAAAGACTACACCTAACCTGTTGTCTCACGCCTGAATTACATCACATAAATACCCCGACCAGTATATTCCAAGGTTAACTCTTTATATTTGTGCAACTCATGGATTTTTTTCCCCTACATTTTATACTTTTCTGGGGGAGAAGAGTGCAAACATATGAAACAATAAATAAAAAATAAAGCTATTCTGTCTATAGCAATGTCAGGTCTTTGTTCATGTGGCTTCTCCCAAATCCCATACCTGTCTGCAGGTACTTTCAAGAAAAATCTGTAAACTACCCTTGAAAATGATTACTCATAGAGGTAATCTAGAATTCTGGATACTGTGTCTGAATAAAAAGAGCTGGTAAACACCTAATTAAACAAGTATTATTGGTTACTTTCAAATATTTGGTTTCCTGACCATATATACAAATATAAATCTAAAATAATTCCTAACTATTCTAGATACATGAAGGATAATCTTCTTGATACTGCATATAGTTTTGTTTCATTATTGATAAATGAAAAGAAGCTATAATAAAACTAATAAAAATAGTTAAGAGAATTAGACCAGGGTCAACTATTTAGATGAAATAAAACTGCAAAGGAGTATAAATACCACTCTTACACAGGAAAGGATTCCTTTATTTTGCTATCCAAAATGTCTTTGTACATTGCAGCTGACATCACCTCTTCCATTGGACACATGATGCCGTATTCCTCACAGCCATTCTCTTGAACCAAAGGGTCAGTTTTATGTGGATCGAACATTATATTATTTGGTGTAATTAGCAGTACACCACTGACTGTGCCCTAAGATGAAAAAAGAAAATAACGTTTAATCTTCAAAGTTTAAATTTTCAAAAAGTCTTCTAGCTATTTTTACTAACTTTCTTCTGATATTAGGCCATCTACTATATATATATATACAGTACACTCAAGAACTATGGCATTGTCATGAAAACATTTTTAATGAAATCCAAGTTTTCCTAGTACATTTTCTTCTTTCGCAAAGGCAGAATACAAAGAATATCATATTCCCCCCAATCAAGTTGGGAATTAAAATTTGTAAACTAAGTAAATTACTGAGTTATTGCACATCAGGAAGATAGTAAGAAGGGATTCTCACAAGGCATGAGCCTTGTTTTATATTAATTTGCATACTGCTTCCTATGTTGTGCTCTCACTACAGGTACCAAATAGAGCTTCGTATACAATGCAGACTCAATAAATAATGTGTTGATAATTCAATCCATTATAAAAGAAAAAGAATATAATATCTTTAAAATATCACTTTTAAAAAATCTGTTTTTGCTTGACTCTGCTACTCCCCAGCTATGTGACCTTGGGCAAGTGAAGCCTCTGGGCCTATTTCTCCATCTGTAAGATTAAATAAATTAGATGACCTCTAAAGTACACAGTCATTATTTTGAATTTCAACATGAAAAGCTATAAAAATTTAAATAAACTTATATAAATAGTAATATAAATCTGAAAAATCCAACCCTCTTATTTTATAAATGAGAAAACTAAGGTCTATAGGCAGCTGATACCACCAATATTAGTTAATATTTATTGAATGCTTCATATATATCATACTTTCTATGCATATTGTTCATTTGATCTTCACAATCATAGCTCTGAGATGAGTAAAATCACTTATATTTTACAGATGGAGAAACTAAAGTCAGGTAACTCATCCTAAACAACCAGGATTCAAAATCCAGGTAGTCTGTGCTATCATAGCTCTGAGATGAGTAAAATCACTTATATTTTACAGATGGGGAAACTAAAGTCAGGTAACTCATCCTAAACAACCAGGATTCAAAATCCAGGTAGTCTGTGCNGAAACTAAAGTCAGGTAACTCATCCTAAACAACCAGGATTCAAAATCCAGGTAGTCTGTGCTTTCTGTACCTGAGTCACAAACTATAATAACTCCGAATCAAATGGCAAACATTCCTTAATCCCATTTTTTAACTCTCATTACACTAAATTCTGTTAAGTGTAAAAATGAAGAGCCAGATGGAATTCTAAAAAAAAAAAAACCCAGTTACTTCAAAGTTGTCTTGCCTTTTTTCTGAAGCTATTCAGAAACGAAAAACATAAATCCTGCTTCATTTGGTATCATGCCCTCTTTCCAAGTCCATATTTGGTACTGTGAATTTACCTGGCTTAACTTAAAACATAAGACGTAAGTTATGGTAGATACTATCTTTAAAAATAAACAGAAATAGTAAAAAGTAAAAAAATAAAAATAAAAATAAACAAAAAAATAAAATCCGACTGAAATGGTCGTCCAATCAATCCAATCAAAAGTGAAAAACTGCTACTGCAAATGTTCAAGATAATAAAAAAATTTACCATTTATAGTTAACCTAAGCAACACTGGAGAAGAGTATATGTGTGTATGCATTTTGATGAGGGAAAGGAAATCAATCTGAACCTCTGAATGGCACCTCTTTTAGTTCAGATGATGGCCTATCTAAATAAGGAGTAACTTTATCTAAACCATAACCTTTTGATTAATATTTTAATTAGACTCAAATGCATCAATCTGTATTCCTGGAGCACATACCAACTCAAGTCAATGAGAGATGGTAAAGTATTTTATAAGGAACATTTACAGTGCCAGGGATAATCCAAAAAATAGATAATAATAGAGCATACAAAATGTAAAAAAAACCCTAAACGTTTCTGATCTTTCATAACTTCCTTTCTTCCACCTTCTGAAAACTTATTTGACAAATGAAACCAAGCAATCAGCTAGAAATAAGGAAAACAAACTCCAGGTTGTCTGAAAGACTTCAAGTCACTCTTTATTTTACAAATTTCACCTATGTATTAGTTTTAATTAATTATTTGTTTCACTATCATAACACTACATTTAGTCTTTCACTTTAGAGGATTTTCATAAAGGCAATGATAACTATGTATGAAAGAAAAGGCCCAGTGTAATGATAATGCTTTTAATTCTCTATACACATCAATACTATAATCTTTATAGTGTAACTATAGAGGTTACACATTTGAAAAGCCTCTCACAACTGTTTCTACTTTTTGGATTAGGAAGGGC